CTCAAATATAAATTATGACATTTTATGGGGCAAATTCCCTTTATCCTGTCCCCTAAGTTCCATTCTCTTTCCCTACACAGTCAAATGTTTATGAAGTTATTTTTGATAGATGAGTCTACACTTGATGCCTGCAATTCTTAACCTTCCATTAACTACTTACTCTCTTAACACTCCACAATTCAGTTCTCCACTCCACCACTCCATAGTACTTATTAAAGTTACACAACAACTTCCTTGTTGCTAAACCCAAGGACCACTTCCTTCTTTTACCTGACATTGGTCTAGCAATCAGTACTGCTAAATCCCTCTTCTTGAAGTTCTCGAAACTCAACTTAAAGGGACACCACATTCATCTGATTTTCCTGCTCTCCCTTCTCCTGTCCACCTCTCTAACATTTACTATCCTGTAGAGTTTAATGTTTGCTTATTCATGTTGTCTGTTTTGTTCTTTGTCATTTTCCCAACAGAGACAACTCTCAATACATATTTATAAAATGAACAATGAATAGTCTTTATCTTTCCTTTCTCCATATTCTCTCTGGGACATCATTTCCACCCTCACACTTCCAACTAACATTTACAAGAATGACTCTTACTTCTGCTTCTCTACAGAGTTCCAAATCTTTATGTCCAAATGCCTATAGGAAAAAACATTCATGTAGATGCCCCAAAGGCCCTCAGAACTAGGGAAGTCCAACTGGTACTCATCATTTCCTCTTCTCCTCAAACCACCTCTTCCTCTAAGATATTACCTACAAAGCCAGCTGAGTGACAATTTCCTTTTCCTTCCTCTCAATCAGTCACCAAATCCTATTAATTCTACCTTCAAGTTTATAAACAGGACACAGAATCAAATCTACTGCTCCTCTTCATTCTCTCTGCCACTGTATATAGAAAGCAGGGGGGAATAGCTCTCAGTTTCAAAAGTTTCCACAATGAGACACCTTAATTCCATTTAGGAGGAAGGCAAATTGTTTTCGACCTCTCTAATAAGATTTCTCACAAGGTCTTCTTTATGTCTAGTTTCTAAGAACTTTCCCAACTTGTCTCTAAAATATTAATTACCTATGTATACTTCTAATTGGTCAAGTTCCATCATATTCCACCTATACAGGATAAAAGAGTCCTTTAAATATCTGCAAAGCTGTCCACAGGGAAACCTAGTCCTTAAATTAAAAGCACACCCAACTACAATATATTCAATATTATCTCATGCTTTCCAAGTTATCTTCTAAGTTTTTAAAATGGAAATTGTCTCAATGGCTCAAGTATCAATAAACTGTTTCCACATGATTGTTGTTCAATAGCACTCCCTCTAATTACTGAATAAAAACAAATCCTAAGGGAGAACTCCGCTACTGGTACACCCTTGATCACTTGTATATTTACATCCTCCTAAGCCCACCTCATCTTGTCCATATACCCTTTGGTTAACAATTCAACCCCATGGCAACAGGATTTTACTTTCCTCATTAACTCTAGCATCTTCATTCATTGAACAAATATTATCATAATGGGTTTCCTTGGTCTAGTGATCAAGCTAAACTTACATCCATTTTCCCCATCACAAGAAGAGATAAAATCTTAAATTTCAAATCTACACGATAACCCTCACCACATAAGAGTAAAGGAACAGCCTTGCAGTAAAGAAAGAGCTCTAGTGCTTATTACCCACTGAATGCTTCCTTTTTCATTGGTGCTAAAGTTTGAATTTGTGCAGAAGAGTCTTTTGTGAGGTCATAAAAATGCAGAAATTTTGTTCAACACAAACAGGTAAATGGAACTAAAAACATGAGGATGGAACCAAAACTGATACTTACATTAAGAAGTTGTACAGACTAGGCCAGCTCAAGTGGATACTATAGGCTAAGGTGTAATTCAATCGGCCACCTGCGTGTGGACCAACATGACTGTGCAACTTTCTGCGTATCCCATGGGCCAGTGGCCCCTAGAAAGCTGCTTCGCCTCTTAGTCTGGGGGCCTAAGTCTCTGCTCCGCTGTGTCGGGTGCACTTGGACCCAAGCCCGAGCTTGTAAATAAACCCTCGTGTGTTTGCATCGGAAAAAAAAAAAAAAAAAAGAAGTTGTACAGAACTTATAGAAAAAAAATATATAAGGTTAAAAAAAAAAAAGAGCAGTATGGTCATGTTTTTATTTTTTTTCCAGTTTTTTTTTTAACTTTATCCCCTATTTGGAAACAAATTTAGAGGGTTAAAGGTGGTGTCTGTATAGTGAGGTGAAATATACATGTTACATGCAAGTCACTGATGACTAAGAGATGAAAAGTTCCTATTCTCAGAGAAGTCTAGGAGCTGTAGCAATGTTCTAGACATACTACTTCCAGAAAAGAGGAAGTACAAAGTCTGGAGCACACAGAAAGAAGTGGGTCTAGAAGCTGAATCCGGAAGAACAAGTAGGAAAGGGGGAAAGGTCACTTCCCATATGGAAAGGGGAAAAAGGTCATTCAGGCAATGAAATCAGCATGTGTAAAGACTTGAAATATAAAAGGGTTTAGGGGATTCTCAGCTGTTTGTGTAGCGTGCAGCATGTGCACAAAAGATTGAGCAGTACTGGAATGGAACAGGAGACTCATGAAGCTAATGCATGAAAGACCTTGTATGAGACACTGGGTTCTCGAGATTCTTGGTCACTAGTGTGTATCAAGAACATAGGACAGTGCTTGCCACTTCATAGGTTCCAATTCTAAAATTAAATAGGGGGGGGGGAGTGTACAATTCTAATGATTATTCCTATTTCTTCCTACAAAGAACTCCCTATAACGATATTTTGACAGCTGCTTTATCAAGGTAGACTTATATCACCTATAGACTTATATCACCTATCAACCCTAACTTCTGGGAACCCCCAAGCTGCTTGTCATCAACTCTGTCAAGACAGCACTACCATCAAGCGTCATCCTCCGTCTTCACCCCATGTTAACCTGGATAGCTGCCTGAATAGACTTCCCTATTGATACATATTTTTAAAAAAAGTTCCTTTAGGGATCCCTGGGTGGCGCAGCGGTTTGGCGCCTGCCTTTGGCTCAGGGCGCGATCCTGGAGACCCGGGATCGAATCCCATATCGGGCTCCTGGTGCATGGAGCCTGCTTCTCCCTCTGCCTGTGTCTCTGCCTCTCTCTCTCTGTGACTATCATAAATAAATAAATTTAAAAAAATAATTAAAAAAATTTTAAAAAGTTCCTTTAAAGGCATCGCAAGAGGAAATCTGACCCTGAAGGTGCAGTTACTTCAATTTATAAAACCGGGTCTAATTATTGAGTATACTTCATGCCTTCAAACATTCATACCACCCAAAAACTGTATTCCTCCGCTGTGTAAATAAGTTTATGGGCTGAATACATTCTGCCAACACTAACAGCAGAGCTTTGAAAGTGGCCTTTCTGATAATTATAGAGCTGTTTAGTAAACCACATTCGAAGTTCTAAAGAAAACTTGGAAGTGGCTTCCAGAGAAATGATGAAGTAGCCCCTAGATATACTGCACTATATTCCACTACAGGGGCACCTGTCACCAAATCTACAATACAACTGACAGGGCACCTGTCACCAAATCTACAATAAAACTGATAAATTGAGAGAAGGACTCAAAGGGTGATCTTTCACATGGAAAGGCTGAACTCCTGTCTATCCGGATCCATTTGAGTTAGGTCCAAAGTTAAGAAAAATATAGGAATCTTCACAGAGTTTCTTCCTCCCTTAGTTGCTTTTTTTTTTTTTTCCCAAGATGAATTTTATTTTTTATCCTCCAAGTTTTTATTTAAATTCAAGTTGGTTAACATAAAGTGTAGTAATGGTTTCAGCAACAGAATTTAGTGGTTCATAACTTAACAAACACCCAGTGCTCATCACAACTGCCTTCCTTCATACCCATCACCCATTTAGCCCATTCCCCACCCACCACCCCTCCAGCAACCTTCAGTTTTTTTCTATAGCTAAGAGTCTCTTATGGTTTGTCTGTTTTTATCTTATTTTTCCTTTCCTTCCCCTATGTTCATTTGTTTTGTTTTTTAAATTCCACACAGATGAAATCATATGGTATTTTTCCCGATTTTATTCACTTTGCAAAATACCCTCTAGCTCTATCCTGTCATCGCAAATGGCAAGATTTCATTCTTTTTGATGGCTGAATAATATTCCATTATATACGGATACCACATCTTTATTCATTCATCGCTCAATGGACACTTGGGCTCTTTGCATAATTTGGCTCCCATTAGCTTCTATAATCACAGGAGTCCTAATGTCTCCAGGCCAAGGCAGCCTTTACCATCTTTTTGGTATCTGTTCTCTGACTTACTAAGCTACAAATAGCAAAAGTTTGCATTAATCTATTGCTTCCTCTCCTGATCTACTATTTTCGAAGAAAAATGCTTTGAAAATTTGCACTTGTTGTAGGTAATGAATTACCTCTTCCAATGTTCCCTTAGGAAATGTATATGCTGAGATAAAATACTTAGGCTACAGGTTTAGTCCAGAAGTTTGTGGAGACTGATATGCCTGAGGTCTGTTTTGTCACATCCCGTGCTAAAATGTTCAAATTTAAATGGTAGAGACATGCAACAAAGAAGCCCACAGGGTCATCAGTGGGATCAGCTACATTACCGACAACCACCTCTTTCTTAAACCTGCTCTAGACCAGCCGGAACTTATACCAAGTTAGCGATACACCGGGTCGTACAAAACTCGGTCTAGATACATGTGGGTAATAAACAGAAAATAAAGTCTCAGTTACGGTAGTGGCGTTATAAATGAGTCCTCTCTTAGATGGTCTCAGGTACAACACCTGGCAACGGACAAACACTGGGGGGGTGGGGTGGGGGGGGAGTTAACCAGATGCCGGCCAAATGAAGTGGGAGATGCTCCAGGAAAGTGGCACAGGAGCTTAAAGTGCAAGGGCAACATTCCAAACCAAAGGACAAGAAAAGCACTGAGGCAAGAGAACTCATCAACTGTATCACAGCGGTAACAAGAGCTAACTAACCTTTCACGCCGGGCGGTGGGTGTGCACAGGGGTCTAATATGCGTGATTTTTCTTTATCCTTGAAACAACTCACTAAGTTAGATATCATCACCCACATTTTTCAGGTGAAGAAGCTGAGACTAGAGATGTCAGGTAACCTGCCCCAAGGGACAGACCTAGTCAGTGCTGAACCGGGACGGGCACCTTTGGCTTACTAGTCCATCACCCAGCATCTCCTGCTCCTACGGATGCTGCTTGTCACACCTCTGCGAACAAAGTCACACTTTTTTTTAATGCCGATTCTAAATTCGCTTTTCCACCGCTGGATGATAATCGAGGTCAACTCCCGAGTTTACTGGCGATCCTGAAACAAATGTACACGCGGTAAGGAGGCAGCAGGTTAACCGGGTTTTCTGAAGGCCAGATCTGCTCGTTTTTCCATCCGCTATCGCTATAGTCTGCAGTTACCTACAAACGTAAAGGGGCTCTTACTACGCGTCCCATCACTTCTCTCTGGCATCTGGCATATCGGTTCTCCATTTTTCCCCTCCTGTTCACCTAAAAAGTCGCTGCGAGCATCAAGTCAAAGTAAGTTAAGGCGGTTGTTGCAGGCAGACTCAGCGAAGCCAGCTACTGCACTGCCGACCGGTACAGGTGTATGGGGAGGATCCGGGGCTCGCACCGGAGGAGACCCGCGCTGGGGAGTAAGGACACCCACTCGCGGAAGGAGCCAAGAGGACCGCGAGCTCCCTGGATGAGGAATGAGCACCAGGAAACCTCTTCATTTACGGGCAGATGAATGAAAAGAGCAGCAACTAATGAAGTCTGAAGAAGCTATGCAACAGGGCTACGACGCTGCAAAGACGCAGGAGAGGAACTTGCAGCTACAGGCGGGGAGTCCCGCTTCCACGGCCCGGGTCCGGGCCCTGCGACGGCGGGCCGGGACACGGTGCAGGGGGCCCCGGGCACTCCGCCGGGAGCTAGGTCAGTCCACGCCCGGGACACGGCGCAGGGGCCCGGGAGTTAGGTCCCTCCGCGCGGGGACACGGCGAGGTCCTCCCCGTGCACCCCGCCCCCCGGGAGTAGGTCCCTCCGCGCGGGGACACGGCGAGGTTCTCCCCGTGCACACCCTCCCCCCGGGAGTAGGTCCCTCCGCGCGGGGACACGGCGAGGTCCTCCCCGTGCACCCTTCCCCACCCCCCCCCCCGGGAGCTAGGTCCCTCCGCGCGGGGACACGGCGAGGTCCTCCCCTTGCACCCCCCCCCCGGGAGCTAGGTCCCTCCGCGCGGGGACACGGCGAGGTTCTCCCCGTGCACACCCTCCCCCCCGGGAGTAGGTCCCTCCGCGCGGGGACACGGCGAGGTCCTCCCCGTGCACCCTTCCCCACCCCCCCCCCGGGAGCTAGGTCCCTCCGCGCGGGGACACGGCGAGGTCCTCCCCGTGCACCCTTCCCCACCCCCCCCCCCCCGGGAGCTAGGTCCCTCCGCGGGTACACGGCGAGGTCCTCCCCTTGCACCCCCCCCCCCGGGAGCTAGGTCCCTCCGCGCGGGGACACGGCGAGGTCCTCCCAGGCACCCCCCCCCCCCCGGGAGCTAGGTCCCTCCGCGGGTACACGGCGAGGTCCTCCCCGTGCACCCTTCCCCCCCCCCCCGGGAGCTAGGTCCCTCCGCGGGGACACGGCGAGGTCCTCCCCGTGCACCCTTCCCCCCCCCCCCGGGAACTAGGTCCCTCCGCGGGGACACGGCGAGGTCCTCCCCGTGCACCCTTCCCCCCCCCCGGGAACTAGGTCCCTCCGCGCGGGGACACGGCGAGGTCCTCCCGGGCACCCCCCCCTCCCCGAGCTAGGTCCGTCCGCGGGGACGCAGCCTCCCACCCGCGCAGACTCCGCCGCCGAGCGGCTCTCCCGCCGCGGCCTCGCCGGCCGGCGGGCTCCGGAAGGGGAGCCGCGCACCCCCAGCGCTGCCCGCGGCCGTCTCACGGCCCCCACGCCTGGTCCCCCCTGCGGGGCCCACCCGGCCCGGCAGCCCGCCACCCCCACCCCGGCTCGCCGCCTGAGGCGAGTCCACGGAGTCCGGTAGTTACCTGGAGCGCCACCGCGCCGCCATTACACCGGATGTGCGTCACTTCCCCTTCCCGGCCCGGCAGTGCGAGGAAGGCGGTACGTGAAATGGATAAAAAAACTGACGCTAAATTCACTTTATAATGCTAGCCTGCTAATTTACTTTAAATACCCTCTCGTAATACCAGATTTAGAGCAGGTGGTCCGGACTCAATTTTTCTCTTTCCAAGACGGCGACAAAAGAGAAGTCGGTTTAAAACTACATAGTCCGGCGTCCGCCGCCGGTGAGGACGGAAGTGGCGTAACAATTGTAATTCGGGCTGAGTGGGTCGCAATGTCCGACGGGAATTGTAGTTCTTCTGCGTAGGCGGCGGAGAATCCTTGGCGGCTCGTCTGAAGCCTGGTAGTGATGAGGCTTGGGCAAAATTTACTCCAAAACTCTTTCTCTGCAGTTGGCAAAAATAGGCCTTGGCAGTCACTTATCCGCGAAAAAGCTTAAGAAGGGCAGACGCTTTTTCCAGATTCTTTTCAGTAGTTATATAAAGAACCTATATAAGCAAAAATGTCCTGAAACCTTAAGTGCCTACTAAGTTCCAAGATTTCAAGCCTACGGGAATGGGAGGATATTGGACCACAAAATGAAGTAATGAGGAGAAGCTAATTTTGTGGAGAAGAGGATGCGTCTATTTGAGTATAAGGCACCAGCTGGCAGGACATCCTCAGGATAAGGAGATTGGCCAACTTGGAAATAGCAGACTATGCAGAGATCAGAGGTAATCAGTGGAACAGTTTTCTTATTCTTTACTTAATAGTAACAAAACCCAGAAGTTCAACTACTTGTTACTGTTTTGGAAACTATCTTTTCATAAAGCAACTGTATCCATCATGTTCCCCAACCTTCTCTATATAGCAGGCCTGGTTTCCCCAAACATTTTTTTTATATTAGAATTTTCGAGTAATCATGCTACTAACCCTCTCTTTGGGGCAGCAGAGTGTAGTGATTACAGATAAAAGACACTGGAGCAGATTTAGCTCTTGAAACTATCGAAATACCCCTGGATGACTTTTCTTGGGCCCATTACTTAACACCGTGTGCCCATTGTCTGTTAAATTGAGGAAAATATTAGTACCCACCCCATAGGATACTTTTAAGAAGTGAATAGTTGTGGATTAAGTTGTGAATTTAAGAAGTGAATTAGTTGATATACTTGATGTATGTGATGTAATTCCTACCACACAGCAGTATTACCTATTTTTTTTAAAGATTTTATTTATTTATTTATTTATTTATTTATTTATTTATTTATTTATTTATTTATGAGAGACACAGAGGGAGAAGGAGAAGCAGGCTCCCTGTGGGGAGCCCAATGTGGGACTTGATCCCAGGACCTGGGGGTCACGCCCTGATTCAAAGGCAGACGCTCAACCGCTGAGCCATCCAGGCGTCCCACAGTATTAGCTATTCTTTTTCATATTTAAGATATTTGACCATAGTTAAAGGTACTTTTTAGTGTCTTTAAATATTTAAGCGGATAGATACAGGGCATAGGAGAGGAATCTGGTAAACATTTGTATCCATATCTGAAAAAAAAGCACACTACCACCTCTACAATTTTCGATAGAGGTAGGAATGTTAGAGTTGAAGCTAGGCGAGCTAAATGGAGCTGGAAAAGATTAGGTTTGTCGTTTTGGAATTTGCTTCTTCCAGGAAGCAGACTGTGAAATAGGGCTCAGAATTTAAAATGGTAAAAGGAAAAGGGAGGAAACTGGATGGGCCATGGTTAACTCCAGAGCGAAGATGAAGAGTCCCACACTGGAATAAATTGGCTTGGCCTGGCCCTTGTAACACAGTCTTGCTCAGTCATTGGCTGGAGCCACATCAAGAAAAATACAACCTCCGTAACAAAACTGAGATGTGTTTGGAAGTGTTAACAGTTGAAGGCTGTCCCCTAACCACACTCCTAACAGCTAGGCAAAGAGACTTTTCTTGAAGAGGTATCTGAGCAGAATAGCTCTTCATTGTCACCGTCCACCCCTTGTACCATTTAGATCCACTCCGTATATACATTCAGGGAATCGTTCCTCCAGGGTTTCATCGGCCTCTCTTCCTTAAGAGAAACTTAGAAAAGTTAGTGGAACAAACTACAGTCCCCATCATTGCAGTTGGTCTTGAGCTACAGCCAAGCCATTCTTCTCCACTATTCATTCTAAATTCCCCTCACTCTCAGCTACCACTTCTGCTGGTCTCAGGTGTTAAACTGGTGGTGTGAAAACCCTAGTTCCTGAGAAATTTGAGCCCCTAGTAATAATTGTCTTTTCATGAAGGTGTTGCTGCACTTGCCCATTTACAGTCACTATTTTGGGGAGGGTAGCACAAAGAGATGGCCCAAGTGGATCACCTGAGTGCCACACATGTTCTTACTTGTTCCTATTGTGCAGCATCAAGCCTACATTCTCCTCCTGAACACAGTTAGCTTCTCCTATCAAGAGGTTGACTCTTCTTTTTGATTACTTGTACCTGAACTCAAGATCCAAAGTGCCCATGAAGCAGATGAAGCTTAGTTCAGTAGGAGTCTTGCTGTGTCCTCTAACAAGAATATAACACCTTTGGGAACTAGGACCTCTAGTTTCACAAAGCTTTGCAGGAATGGGAAACACTACAGCTCCCAGTGGGTCACTGGGAATGATGGCAAATGTGGCTCATCCCATTTGAATCCCTTAGTTGTGGACCCATGTATTGTTCCTAGCGGGGAGTCTAAGCCATATCAAAGTCTACTGCATCTTGAGGAACAGCACTTCTTCCTTGAACTATCTCCTATTAGGTGCTTGAACTTTACCCTCAGCAGGCCATTCCAGTGCTCTATCAGGCCTCCAACTTCTGGGAAATGCGGCATGTGATATAACTAATGGAACCTGTGATCATAGGCCACCCTCCTACACTACCTTTACCATGAAGCGAATATCTGACTGGATGCCATATTATATTGTATTCCTGTATGTAAATCAGGCATTGTATAAGTTCCCAAATAGCGATGCTGGATAAGGATGGGTGAGTATGAAGTACAAATACATGCCCAGTATAGGTAATCTATTTCCATGGGATGGAACTGCTGCCCCTTCCAGGATGAAAGGTCCCAATGGAGTCCATTTGCCACGGTATGGCTACGTGATCTCCTAAAGGAGTGATGACCTATGAGAGGCTCAACGTTGCTCTCTTTTGCTGGCAGGTTGAACTTGCAGATGAGGCCATTGGTAGGTCATCTCTGGTGAATGGGCTTCATGCTGATGGACCTTATGCAGAGATTCCATTTTTGCCATGCCATTTCACTCAAGTGTCCATTGTGCCTTCACTGGAGTGGCCGCTAACAAAGACAGGCTACCATCAACTCGCTGAGTAATTTTGTTGACTTGGCTGATTAGTACTTCTTCTATAATATATACCTCTTCTATAATGTGTGCTTTCTTGTGGACATTGGTGTGTGACCCAAAGATCCTCATACTTTTTATTCCCAACACTATGCATATCCACATACCTCTAACCCTTTAAGACCTCCTTGTCTGCAATTTTTTTTTAATCTCTTTTTTTTTTTCAGACCTCTGACCAGCCAGCCAAGCTCTTTGCCAATTCCTGTTACATCTGTATATACTCTGACATCAGGCCACTTTTCCTTCCCATACGAAGTGGATGGCCAGGTGGACTACCTGAAGCTCTACCCATTAGGGAGATTGTCCCTCTGCTGTCTTCAGGGATATTCCAGAGTGAGGCTGTACTGTAGCTGCTGTGCAGTTTCAGATTTCATCCACGTACTTGACCAATTCATCCATAAACTAAACTCAGCCACTTTTTTTTTTTTCTTCATCTTGTTGTTCAGGGCACCATCCCTACCCCATA